GTGGTGTGTGTGTGTGTGTGGTGTGTGTGGTGTGTGTGTGTGTGTGTGTAAATGCTGGAAGAGAACATCAGATCCCCTGGAGGTGGTATCATATGTGGTTATGAACCACACAATGTGATGTGGGAACCAAACTCAGGTCCTTTGCAAACACTAAGGCATCTCTCCAGCCCAGACTAGGCCTTAATGTTTAAAAATATCGCTGCTCTTAATAAGCTTACAAAAGAACTCTATTTAAAGAACAAAGTTAGAGCTTACTTAGGCATCTGTCTCTTAGGCATAAGGTTTTTTGAATGAAGTGCAAATTATAATTCAGACTAAATAGCTACTATTATTTTTAGAGTATATGTCTTATTAATATAACTTTATAAAATGTTTAAGATCGTAACATTCCTAATATAACGCTGTCTAATTACTGTCTTAATGTACTCTAAAAATAGCTAACACTGGGTTTCTAAGTTACTGAACACTACATATACACACATAGTTATAATAATTTTAAATAGCATGAGTCATGTCTCTGTAAACCAGTAATCTTGCTTTATTCATTTCAAAATGATTTTAAAATTATAATTTAAGATTTATAAGAATAACTATTCTAAAGAAATTTTCTCAACTCTATCATTTGTAAGTACTGAAAGCTAACTTATATTACAAAAAATATTTAAAATGTAGTTGTTTCCATGTGTGTTTTTAATACATTTTTGTACAAAGTTACATATGTCTATACAATATGTATGGATCATATCCATCCACCACCTACTCTCTCCAATTTTCCCTCATACTTCCAGTTCCCTCCCTCCAAACTTCATGTCTTTTTAAATTTTTTTGTTATATGTGTGCTCTTAATGAATAAACAGTAATTCTTCCATTCTGTACTTAGAGTCTACAGCCCTGTGCCATATGCCATATGTCATCAGTTTAAACACAACAATAGCAGTTGCAGCTTAATTATGTAATTCCTGATATTCGGTAAGGTTAAATTCTAGGGGAAGATTAGACTTAGAACTTTTTAAATAATCCCTACCATGTTTCTACTTGTTTTTATAATTTGTTAACTGTAAAATGTGAGCTTTCTTCCTGGATAGAATTCCAACAGTGGTTCTTAGATGAGATCTTCTGCTAGAACTATGCAGGTTTTACAGATATCCTGCTTTCAACGTTGTCACTATACACTGTCAAAATTATGCAAAAGCACATCTGCCCCAAGAATCTTGGTCGTGGTACTTGCCTTTAATCCCAGCACTCGGGAGGCAGAGGCAGGCTTATCTCTGTGTCCCAGGCAGTACTGGTCTACAGAGTGAGTTCCAAGACAGCCAGGACAACACGGAGAAACTCTGTCTCAAAAAGTAAACAAATAAAATAACAAAGTGTAGTAACACCAAAATGCTAATGATCATTTTAATAATGGATAATGGATTACAGGTTAATTTAGCCTAAGGTCCACTTTTTCTACAGAAAATTTTGAAAGAACATCTTTTGTTGCTGTAATTTGGCAAAAAAGAAATAAGGGAGTAGTGGTCTCTCTCTCTCTCTCTCTCTCTCTCTCTCTCTCTCTCTCTTTTTTCTGCCTGCTTTTTCTTCCTATGTAGGAACAGACTGCCCACAGGGACCACACTAAACCTCACAAGGAACTGATGATCAATGACTGTAAAGAACAAAGTTCACCCAGGGCTAGGGAGAAGGTTCCGTGAGTAAAAACTTGCTCAGCAAACGTGAAGACCAGAGTGTCAATGCCCAGCATCGCACAGAGGGCAAGCATGGCTGTGAACACCTGCAACCCCCACATCAACAGGAGACAGGCAGATCGCAAGAGCTCACTGGCCAGCCAGCCTCACTGAAAGGGTAAGCTTCTGGTTCAGTGGGACCTTGTGTCAAGGCAATAAGGCAGAGAGTGACAGATGAGTGGCAATTACAAAATTATTATAACTGTGTACACAAAGAGCTCAGTAACTCAGGAACCAGATTTACTTATTTGTAGAATATGGTAAGGCAACATAATACTATTTAGGATCACCAGGACCATAATATTTTTATGAAAGTTGGCTCAATGAAATCTTATATTCTAAAAATAGGATCTCATTTAATCTGAGTTATAAGTTGAACTTTACTAAAAATAATCTAAAAAACAGGCAGATAGATGCTTCATAAGTTTTAATTTTCTTAAAATTTAATTTCACTAACAGCCTGCTCTGGCCTCTGCATGCTCCAACACGGCATGTGTACTCACACTCACATGCAATGCGCGCGCACGCGCGCGCGCGCACACACACACCAGTTCATTCGGAGACAGGAAGATTATCAAGATGGCCTACCTACCAAAAGTAGTGACTAAATGGTCCTAGAAGGGCAGTTATTAGCATGTTCCCAATCCTTCACTAGGGGTGCCATCAAACAGGGTCCCAGGAATTTACATTCCACGGAGAGTGTCTCTTTCAGTCAAAAGCATAAAGTTACTGTTTTTACTTTCATGCTTCCAGTGCTGGTGATAGGATCCACACATTAATCAGGAACAGACAGATAGCCAGATGGCAGAGCTCCTCAAATTCCTCAAGACTGAGGAATGCCCCCAAAATAAGGAGAAATTATAAGAGGCGCACTAAGACTGAGTATCCATGGGAACAGCATGCTGGAAGTAAAAACGGCCTATTCAAAACACCCTGCTTCACTCTCAGGACACTCACCTCTCTCCCTGTTTTGAGGCGTAACTGGGACCTACGCCAAATTTACACATGCATAAAATTCCCCCGCCTTTGTCTCATCTTCTCTCTAGTTGTCACATAGCTGTGGGCAAGACAGAGGCTGATTAAAATTTTTCTCTCACCAGTTTTGGCCAAACTGTAGATAAATTTATTTTTTCATTTTTATAAATATGATAATACCTTTTTCTCTTTACTTGGTGCCATTCAGACCCAGAATCAATAACTACAAACATTATCTAAACCAGACTCACAAACATGTGAGTAATGTAAATGTAAACTAGGTGGCCTATACCATACTCTGTTTTACTATGTGGTTAAGAAAAGAATGGTAATTAAGGTTATGTTTTTTTTAAAAAACTGATCTGTGATGCAGTAATATGTCTTACAACTCTGGGCAATTTCTTTCTATGGTTTTCAGATGGAAGATTCTAATATCACTGTAAGTTACTATACAATTATGTGACATATAATATGAAAAAATAAATAAAATTTTAGAATCACTCTTCAGTCACCTAAAATGTCCAACAAATAAAAGCGCCTTTTGCCATTCCCAATGTTAACTATTTTAAGGAGACCTGTTTCTACTGCCTAAACCTGATTCATTTTTAGGCAGTTTGCACAAAAGATTTGAGCTGTATTTCAAAATAAAGGCTGACATAATGTTGAGACCAACTTCAATTTTAAAAACTTTATAATTCTCATTTAGGATAGATATTTCCAATTGATTACTATGTAAAACTGTCAAACAATAGTTTAAAACATTCCATTCCTAAAAAGCAAGTCTTCAACATCAGAGCTTCCTGTATTGAATGACATTCTGTCTGCCACAGGCAAGCACAAAGAAACTGTCGGGTTGCACACTCTAAAACCAGCCCAGGTGTGCTGTTGTGTTCTTGTACACACCCAACTCTGACCTTAGAAACTATAATAAATTCTCTCTCTGTCCTTGTGTTGGCCACTTTTCCATGCTGTGCTAAATGATCTGACAAAAGCAACAGGAGCCAAAGGGCTGATTTTGGCTCCCGGCTCTGATTGGCTCTAAAGCTCACTCTGGACCATTGAGCTCAGACAGTTTGTGTTCTACTAGAGAAGCAAGCAGTAGTCACAGTATGTGCTGAGAAACAAAAAGCCTCACTGAGTGAGAGGAAAGGCCAAGGTGAGAGTAGAAAGGGGAGGTGGAGACAATAAAGTCAGATGCCATGAAATGCCAATGAGAAAAGGCATCTGGGAGGTCAAGGCAAGAACAAAATGACAGAGTACTGTTGGGACAATCTTTTTGTACTCTGTGATGATGTGTCTCTGTTTCCCTCACCTGCCTAAGGCATCTTCTGATTGGTTTAATGAAAAGGTGAACAGCCAATAGCTAGACAGGAGAGGATAGGCAGGACTTCCGGGAAGAGACAGGAACTCTGAAAAAGACTCTCAGGTGGAGATTCACCAACCAGAGGTGGAGAAAATGCCTATGGCACTGAAGAGAGACTACATGAGCCCTGTGGAAGAACATACATTAATGTAAATTTTAAAGAGCTAGCTGGGAACAAGCCTAAGCTAAGGCCAAGCTTTCACAATTAATAAAAAGTCTCCAGGTTGTTATTTAGGAGCTGGTGGTCCAAAGAAAGCTGCTACAAAGTATCAGGAGCCTAGGGTGACATCTCTTGGCCTTGGTTATGATGGATTTGGTGAAATGAGCAGGATACCCACCAACAGAAACCACAATTTCAGATAAAAAGATGGCTTTCAGCTAAGCCAAGAAGGTAGAGGGGTATCCTCAGAACATGTCTGGGGATCCCAGCACCTAATTTACAAACTAACAGATTACCATACAATTACCCGGCACAGAATCCGGAGTCAAACCGCCTGGATTTGGATGATGGCTCTGCCGCTCCCCAGCAAGTCACTTAGCCTCATTTTCTCTATCGGGTAACAGAGGGCCACGATGAGTCCCACCTCACAGCTGTGCTGTAACCACATGAATTCATCCTCGTCAGAGGGGCTGGAGAACGGCTCTGCGGTTAAGAGCTCTTGATGCTCTTGCAGAGGGCCCAGGTGCAGTTCCCATCACCCACATCCGGAGCTCAACTCCAGACAGCGGATGCAGTGCCCTCTTCTGGCTGCCATAGTTCCATGCACATACGGTACACATAACATACACTCAAAGCACACATACCTACAACACAAAGTAAAATGCAATGGATCTTCTAAAAATAATTGTAAAATGATTTTAAAAATAAAACCAGCCACAAAGCAAGTTCATTTATATGTCTGACTGAAGATGAAGTAAATGGAAGCGGGGACAGGGGAAGAGTTAAGAGAGAAAGGAAGAAGGAAAGGGAGCATGGAGGATGATGCACGCAAACAGGCAGAAATGAGACAGGGCGCGCAGACAGCCTGGTCTCTGGTGCAGGGAGGAAGTGTGGCAAAGTCGTTCTGACATGTCCACAGAGAGCCTAACCCAGGCCACAGGGCAAAGGGTCAGCAAGCCCATGAGACAGTAGCAAACTGTATTTGGAAGTCCAGTTCTTCACACAGGAACACAGCAGCCTGGGTATGCTGGGAATGGAACAAATTCCTTACAAGGATAGAAATAGTTTGTCCTCTCCATCTAGAGGGAAAATGACAGTCAAAATAAGAGAAAGCATAATGCTCAAATGAGCATTCTAAAGCCTTTCATTTTCTCTTTTATGACAAAAAATGTACTTGGAATCATTTATCATGCTAACTAAGGGCACTTCCCTCATTTTATACAAAAATATGCAAAGACCATTATAATTCCAACAGGCTAGAGTTTTAGCAATCTCTCAATCTAACAACCTTCTTAACAAAATTGCATTTAGCTTACAAAAATGAACAAAATTCTATATCCATTTCTATGCAAAAAGCTTTTCAGAGCAATTTCATCATTGGAAATGTAAAGAAATGTCATATAAATTCAGTTTTCTGTATCTTCATAATCCCTAAGGCTACAGGATCCTGCTAGGAAAGAAACCCCTGCTGTTTTACTCTAGGAAACAAGATCAAGGCCAGAAAATGTGACGCAGAGCCTGTGGGGTCAAGTAACTGACATCTGTCCAAGAGCTCCCCACAACCCAAGGGTCTGAGAACACAAAGATGGGCTCGGCCTCTTCATCACAAAACAACTACTTGGGTCAGAAGAGCTCGAAGGATGAGTAGCAGCATATCTGCATGGGTAATGCAAAGTCGTGGAGGACACAGGGACATGGGGCCATCATTTACTTTGTTATATTGAGGGCTCAGAATTCTGAAACAAAAGACCAAGTAATGAGAAAAGCACACAGTTTTAATTAGTAGAAGTTTTATGTGACTTGGGACTCTTCATAAGAAATTGAGGACCACACTCTTTCTAACACCCCCCAGAAGCAGGTGAACTTCTCTGGGGTTGTTTGATTTTCCATGTATTTTATGTATACAGTGTTCTGCCCGCATGACAGAAGATGGCAGAGGATCCCATTATAGATGGTTGTGAGCCATGGAGTTGCTGGGAATTGAACTCAGGACATCTGGAAGAACAGTGAGTGTTCTTAACCATTGAGTCATCTCTCCAGCCCCCAACCTGTTTATCCTTCAAGGTGGGTTTAATTTAAGTGGATAGTTATTGAGTAGTACAATTAGATGGGAAGTGTGACTGGTGGTATCAGGCTGGAGAACTTAGCAAGGCGTCTGGATCCCCATGCCTTCAGAGAAAAGGACAGTCCTTCCTTCCAGGTATAAGGAAGGCACCCTCTCAAAAGTAAGCCAGGCAACCTGCTTCCAGAGATGGTTAGAAAATTCTCCCTAAGTTCATAATCTTCTTCAGAAAGTAGGAAGGGTAGGAGGTCAAAGAATGACCTTCCAGGTTTTCAAATTCAGTCCTTAGTTTAAAATGCTTTTGGAGATGGAGAGATTGCTCAGTGGTTAAAAGCACTGGCTGCTTTTGCAGAGGACCCAGGTACAGTTCTCAGCACCCACGTGGTAGCTCACAACCATATGTAACTCCCGTTCCATGGGATTTGATGCTTTCTTCTGACCTCCATAAACACCAGGCATACACACGGTGCAGAGACATACATGCAGGCAAAACAGCCATGCACATAAAATAAAAATGAGTTAATCATTAAAATAAATAAACAATATCTTAAGGTATGGACTGGAGAGATGGCCCAGTGTACAAAGAGCATGCCCTACAAGAATGAGGACCTGGGTTCAGATCCCCAGCACCCATGTAAAAAGGCAGCCATGGTAGCACACAGATGCAACCCTAGCACTGGCTGGGTAGAGAAAGGTAGATCCCTGGAATGCTTACTGGCCAACCAGCCAAGCCAAATCAATGAGCTCAAAAAAAAAAAAAAAAAAGTGAAGAATGATTAAACAAGACACAAGACATGGAACTCTCACCTCCATACATGTACCTTCCACATGTACACACACACACACACACACACACACACACACACACAGAGAGAGAGAGAGAGAGAGAGAGAGAGAGAGAGAGAGAGAGAGAGAGAGAGAGAGAGAGAAATTTAAGGCATGATATCCTAAATCCCATCAATGGATGAAGCTCATTAATTTAGACTCTATATTTAAATGCACTTAAGACTTTTCTCCAATTTTATAAACTAAAATTTCTCAATTACTTCTTTTCTGGAAAAGGTCCCATTGTGTTGTCCCAGGCTTCTAACTCATGCCCTTCAGCCACACCCTCCCTAATGCTGGAATCAGGCTTGCATCCAGCTTTTTAATATTCTTTATTCTGATCATTTTCAGTAATAAGTTCAAATAGTAGCATCTAAAGTCATTTCCTCTTTGTAATAACTATGTAATACTTTAATAATTTCACTTAAGAACCAAAACTTCTCTCAGTTAAAATTAGTAAATCACACTATTTCCACCCTTTACAAATTCTTCTGCTTTCTATTAAGTCTAGCTCCATTGTTCTGAACAAACAAAATTTTAATCTTCCTGTGTAGGCACATACTCACACATACTCACACACATACACACACACACACAGAGAGAGAAAGAGAGAGAGAGAGAGAGAGACAGAGACAGAGACAGAGACAGAGAGACAGAGAGTTTATAACAAAGCTTTTTAAATGACAATCCTGATAGATGAAACATATTCTTTTGAAAGTTAGAATATACCATTTGGAGAAATAGGATATAATACAAAAACAAAATATTAAATTATTGCACTGATACCATTAGATAGCTAGTCAGCTATTTGAAGGCTTAGAGGACATAAAGGGGCAAATCCTTGTCTCATAATCAACAACCTGTAAAAACAAAGACTAGAACTCCAGGACTCCATTAATGTAGGAGGAATGAGACCTGAGTCACAGCTCTGGCACTGGGAGGAAGTATGACATCCTGAACTGCCCCGAAGGTCATGGATAACTATCTAAAGCTGGTTTCATGAGCCCTAACCCTTACAAGGTCACTATCTGGCAGATTATCTGATAAAAAGCAAGGATGTACCATTGACTCTACCTAACAGGGTCAATCACCTAGACAGGAAAATCATCCAGGAAGCTGGCTGGTGTGGAGACCTAGAAACCTGCCTAACATGCAGACAGGATAGTGGTCCCTTTGGCCACTGCCCACTCTCATCTTCAGAATAACAAGCCTACCTGTGTGTCTTCCTTGGCTTCTTTCAAAAAGATAATGGAACTGGAGGGAGACCAGAGAGAGAGATCCTGGTGATGACGCGGTTGGATTTACATAATCTGATCTGAAAGAATTCCTTTAAAACTAAATCTAGAGACTAGGGCTGGAACTCAGTGACAGAACATACATGAAGACTAGCCATGGCCTTGCATTCCATCCCCAATATCAAAAAATAATCCAATACATATAAAAAATAAAATACTGAAAAAAGTCTATTATTCTGACTACATGAACTAAACTCCAGTGCCTGGTGTTCTCAGTGCACTGTGTAATCCTTAATGACTGGCATGTGGCACACATATATAATGTCAGAGTTGGGAAACTAAGACAGGAGGATTGCTTCAAATTCAAGATCAGCCTGGGAGACAGTGTCAAGCCAGTAGGGGATATAGAACAAACTCTTTTCCCAAAACAACCATATAAATAAATAAAATCTGCTGCTTCAGTGTGTAGATAAATTAAAATCTTCCATGACTATTAAAATATCTACATTTTTTGTAAGTATACATGAAAACTATAAACAAAAAAGTACAATACTCACATAACAAGTTAAAAGTTAAGTTTACCAAGCAGTGATATTTTCCTTCTATTTTTTGTAATGTTTTGCTGAAATTTTAGGAATATAAATACTTTGAAGCAGTAGTCCCTAATGCATTTGGAAGAAAGAAAGGCATTACAAGGGCAGCGGCCTTTGCTAGAATGACAAATGGACATCCATCGGTTCCTGTTCCCATTAAAGCTGGTGAGAGTTCACATTCTTCACCACACAATGGCGCTTTCATCAATGCTGGAAAACATTTTTGTGAGATTTGCAGAGAATGGATGGAATTCTTAATGTTGCAAGCACCCATTGAGTTATTTAAAAGGACAATGACTGAATGACTAATTAGAAATGTTTCAGTGATATTTATATTACAAAAGAAAAGATTTAAGTCTAGCATTTTCCCTGGAGTAGAAAAGCTACATTAAGTTTGTTGACTGTGGGCATCGATTCTGGAATGATCTGTCCTCAAAACTCTGAGAGCTGCCTTCCCTTTGGCCAACTAATGCTTTTGACATCCTACTTGGCTTCTAAGTGTCATTGTTAGAATGGTTGCTTGTACATACCCTACCCCGAACAGGAGTTAAGATGACTCCAAAGAACATACAGCATGATAAATGATCATTAAATAAGAAAAATGAGACAAAGGAAGGCTAAAACAAGGAAGACAGACAAAGTGTCCTGTAGTCAAAATTAAAATAAGCTAAAACCTAAGCCTCTGACAGCAAAAGCCTTTCTATCTCAGGAAGCACAAGCTAAGCACCCAATGTCATCACCTCAAAGACAATTTACTGGGTCAGAGAGATGGCTCAGTGGTTAAAATAGCTATTCTTCTGGAGGACCAGGGTTCAATTCTCAGCACCTACACGGCAGCTTACAATGGTCTAGATTTCCAATTGCAGGGGATCCGACACCCTCACACAGACATACATGCATGCAAAACACCAATGCATATGAAACAAGAATTTAAAAAAAAAAAGAAGCCCATTCTTTAAAAAAAAATGTTAAAAAAAAAAAAACCACACAGTTCTGATAGAGAGTATTTGACTAGCACACACAAAGCTCTGGGTTCAATTTGAACTCTCATTACCTAGGCATGGAGGGGCGTGTAGAAGCAGGACGGTAAGAAGCTCAAGGTCATTCTCTGCTACACAGTAAGTATGAGGCCAGCCTGGGCTAAAGGAGACTTTGTCTTAAAGGAAGAATATATTTAAAAAAGAATAAACTTTTCCAGTCAGCTTTTTGGTTGTTTAACTTTTACTTTTAAATACATAAACAAACTTTCTATAAAGCATGTACTTATAAAGTCTTAAAAAAGAGGCAAAACATTTGAGAGCAACTTTACCACATCACTTCTTCAGAGACATAGTTTTATGTAAGTAAGTATGCAGTTTGCTGAAGGTCTGGCTTAGTCTAGAAATGTATTTCTCATGGAGTGGAAGAGATGTTCTTGAAACAAAGGAAAAAATGAGAAAAGCATCTGATAAATGCACCTAGCAAAGATATACTTAAAATATTCTCTCCTAGCAAAGATAGTAAAATACTCTCTCCACAAAAGGCTTGCATATCCTTGGGTAGGTTGTTCACATTCTTAGGATTTTGTTGCCATTATAAATGATGACTCATTAGAAAATTAGATAATTCAATGTATCTGCTTTGATTTTTTACATTTACTTACATGTGTGCATGCACACACACATGAGCAAATGCAGTGACTATATTGAAGTCAGAGGACAACTTGCAGGAGTTGCTTCTCTCCTACCACATGAGCCAAGAGGATCCATTCAGTCAGGCGTGGTAACAGGTGCCTTTTCCCACCAGGCCATCGACTGTCCTCAATTATCTACCATATTTTTATACTGATTCTAGTAACCTTACTGAACTCTACAATGAGCTTTGATCATTTTTGTCTTTGAATTCCTATCACTGGCTCCTCTTTGTGAACGTAAAGGAATAAGATTCCAATAGCCTCTGTTAAAAACAACTCCCCTGAATTCTCAAAATTCAATATAGTGTTCTCTGGCCATCACTAACCCTTACAGCTGTCTCACTTGGAGGCTTCTAGTAACACAATCTTCAGCTCTATTGCCCCATTCTTCAATATCAATCCATCCCACTTTACCTCACACTCTAATAGAAATTAGATAACACAGCGTCAGACACTGTCCACACTCTTTTGCCAGTGTCCATGCTCTCTTGTCCCTTTAATACATCTGCCTCTGCATGTAAAGGTCAAGCAAACATTAAGTTAGCTTCCTCTCACCATTTCATGCAGAGAATAATACCCAAGAAAATAAGAAATTGTGAGTCTCTGGAATGTCACCCTAAACACACTTGCAATGATCTGCCATCCCATCACCCACTGCCTCATAAAATAGTCCTCTTTACTTCCTTAACCACTGGTCTAAAACTTCACCATTTTCCTATTATCTTTTCACTTTCTTTGTTCCCTTATTATATGATTATTTATTTATTTATTTATTTATTTATTTCTGCCGATACTCCTAGGTTTGTAATTTGAACACCAATAAAACTGAAGTACAGGCCAAGGGGGCAGCTTAGGCAGGAAAGGCACTTGCTGTACAAGCCTGGCAGCCTGGGTTCAATTCCCTGAGCCCATATAAAAGTGAAAGGAGAAAACCAACTCCACAAAGCTGCCCTTTGACCTCCACACATACGGTATGGCACATGCAATCCCACACACAGACACAGACAGATAGACAGACACACATGCTCCCACATACAGAAAATATCAATAAATACATTTAAAGATAAAAACTGAACTACTTGAGAGTCCCCAAATATGTCTTGATTTCCTTGCACATTCTCTTCCTCTAACTTCCTCCTCCATTTTGCTTACCCAGAATGCCTTTTGAGTTCCTTCCAATCTCAGCTCCATGCTGTCTCCTGTGAAAACTTCCTCAACATAAACTTCTCCTGCATGCCTTCAGGACACTGCACCCAGCTCTAGGTACAGGTACACACCCACTCATCCATTTGTTCCTGCAAACGACTGCTTCACAGAAGATGGGGAATTTCATTTCAGTTTACTATCCCAAGCACTTATCCAGTAGCTGATCGAAGCAGAAACAGGCACCCACAGCTAAACATTGAACCATATTCCTGGACTCCAGTTGCGGAGAAGGAGGAGGGATGAGCAAAGGAGCCAGGACAGTGCTGGAGAAACCAACAGCACCAGCTGATCTGACCTAGCGAGAGCACACGGACCCCAGTCGTAAAGCTGGGGAACCAGCATTGGACCAAACCAAGTCCTCTGAATGTGAGTGCCAGCTAGGATGCCAGAGCAGTCTACAGGACCTCTAACAGTGGAGCCAGTGTTTATCTGTAGAGCACAAATGGACTTTGGGAGCCCATTCTCTATGGAGAGATACTACTGCACCCCAAATACAGGAAGGAGAGCCTAGGCCCTCCCACAAATGATGTGACAGACTTTGATGATCCCCGTGGAGGGCCTCACTATCCCTGGGGAGGGGGTGAAGAATGGGTTGGGGGGTTGGTGGGGAGCAACGGAGAATGGGAGGATGGGAAGGCAAGGGAATGGGGGGATGGATATGTAAATAAGAGTGCTTCTAAAATAAAATAAATTAAAAACATACTGCAAAATGATAAAGTCTGATTTGAAAGACAAAAGAAAAAAAACAGTAAACCAAGCACAGCAAGCATAGACCAAACACTGATAGTGCGTTTGGACCAAGAATGAGTGATCCTAAAATACAATGGCACAAGATAACACTACAAACATTGCTTATAGTTTGTAGGCTAACACCAACATATTATCTCTAAATCAAACTCAAAATTTACCCACCCATTCAATTCCCACTTTATTACAATTCAGTGTATCTGCTATAAATGGCATCCAATAAATGTGAGGCCTTCACCACTCAGGAGTAGACATTCTCTTCAGCAAATAATAGCCAAAAAGGGAGGAGTGACCTATATAAATAAAAATGGGACAGATCCATTGACTGGCTTCTGTAATAGAGATGACAATTCCTACAAGCCTTTGAATAGGAACATGGTGATTGACATTCATTTGTTCAGTATTTATCAAGTGCCAATTATATGTCAAATCTCATGAAAAGCAAAGGGACCCTTTGGACTTACAGGTCATACTTGAATCCAGTCTAGTATCTTCTAGAGAAAGCTCCAGAATTAACAGTGTCTTCAAGAGAACTTACCACACTTTTAGCCACTACTTAAACAACCAACACCAAAGCAGTTCATGTGCAAAATGAGGTTATACTGGCTTTCCAAATTCAAGGACACCAAATCTCTAGGACAAACACTGGAAAGACACACATGACATTTCCTGAGTACAGTGCTGTCTGTCTCACCTGCTATCTCTGTAAGTGTGTTGATGTGATCTCCATCTGCTAGCTTCACAAAGCCAACCTGACTTTGGAAAGTGTCAATCCCTTGGAAGGGCAAAGTCAGGTGCTTCCCTTGAAGGATTTCCTCAATGAATGGCTTCAGTTCCAAAAGCGCATCAGTACCACTAGTGAGAGACAATATATTTCAGCAATATGATAAGTAATAAAATAGACAAAACCAAATAAGAAATAAAGAAATCCATTTTAAAAGATAAATTATATATATGCTAATTATTTCAAAGTTCAAAATATCTTTTAGATCTAACCTGAGGTAAAAACCAATATTCATTTTTAAACAACTATAGAAGAGATGAATTAAGTCTTTTCCTAATTATAATTACTAATTACTAATTGAATAGGAATGGCCCCCATAGACTCATGTGTTTGAATGCTTGGCCCATAGGGAGGAGTGGCATTATTAGGAGGTTTGGCCTTGTTGGTGTAGATGTGACCTTGTTGGAGGAAGTGTGTCAATGTGGAGCTGGGCTTTGAGGTCTCATATGCTCAAGCCACACCCAGTGTTTCAGACCACTTCCTGTTGCCTGATGATCAAGATGTAAAACCTTCAGCTCATTCTACAGCACCATTTCTGCCTGCATACCACTTGTTTTCTGCCATGACATTAATGAACTAAACCTCTGAAACTGTAAGTCAGCCCCAATTAAATGTTTTCCTTTATAAGAGTTGCCATGGTCATGGTGTCTCTTCACAGCAACAGAAATCCTAAGACAATACTATTTCATTATTCATCAAGAAACGTCTCAGATGTGGTAGCACACCTGTAAACAAAGCACTCTGGAAACTGAGACAGGAGAACTGCAAATCTAAAGCCTACTGGGACCACATAAAACCTAAAGTATAGTAAGACCTTGACTCAAAACATAAAAATTAAAACAAGCAAACAAAAAGAAATTGCTAACCAAAAAAAAAAAAAATGTAGCTGTGTAACTCAAAGTGCTGGGGCTATAGCTCGGTTGTAGAGCATTTGCCTGCTGTGTATGGGGTCCTAGATTCAACCTCTAGGACCTCAGGGAAAAATAGGGCTACAATGTAAAAGACTCCATTTTTTACTAATATTTTACTAATGACACATCCCAAAACAATCCACTACACAGAAGAGCTCTGTTAGGTTGTGGGGAGTGTTTGAATCTTTGTTTGTTTGGTTTCTTTCTGGATGTGGTGTTTTGAGGCAGGCTCTCATGTACAGAAGGATGACTCTGAAGTTCTGTTCACCCTGCTACCACCTCCCAGGTGTTAGGATGACAGGCATGCACCAAGTGTAGGAAAGCACTCTACTGCTAAATCATGTCCCCAGTCCAAGTCCTAGATTTTAAAAAATAAAAGTACTAATATTTACTCAAACAGGACTTACTGTTTACAATGCATTCTACAAAAACTTAAGCAGGCATTATCTCTTAAAATACGATGACTTTATTAAACTGATTTATTGTGCTTCCACTCTATAAATAAAGTGTAAGTTCAACTTTATTTCCCAACTAGAACTAAATGCTTGTTACAGCTGTTTAGCCTATGTTCACTCATGACCAGTTTATGTTTCAAATCTTTATTTCTCTTTACATTTTGAGTTAGACATTATCGAATTTTGTATGGTCTTAAATTTATGATTACTTAAATCCGAAAATAATTCTGGTAGATTCACCTTATTATGAAAAAAAAATTAAACTCACTAGAGGGCAGCAATTACTTAAAAAAGAAATAAGTACAGGCAGCATGAACAGGGTTTTCAAACTTCTCACAAAACCATCACTGAATTAATCTGCAAACAAATAAGTTTTTAAAAAACAGATTTTTGTAGTGATTTCCTATTTCTAAATGAATCTTCACACAGCTTTGAGCTGATTATATTCTCAAGCTTCCCAGTCATGCGCTAATGATGACGCAGAATACCTTTGTAGACGTCAGCGTTTCTCACTGTACCTCCACATCCTCAGCCTAAGTCCAGTGTCCCTAACTGCATCCGGGACCATAGGACACGCTGTACACACTCTGAATCAAATCCTGCACTTCACTGAGTTCTGTGCGGCAAAGCATACGATCAGAGAGCAACCCTTACATACCTACCATAGACTGTAAGACCCTCAGAAAGCTGAGGCTTCCAGAATCTTAGCCCAGGACGGCGGCCACCCCAAACACAGAATGGAGAAAGCTTGATGCAAACTGCATGAGGCTTTATTGTAGATTAACGAGCTAACCCCATGTTAGCTCGGGTCTTTCACCCACCCGCCATGTCGGATGGCGAGAAAAGACGGCTCCTT